AACCCTCACGGCTTGACCTCTTTTTAAATTTGTTGCGCATTTTTATTTCTTTTTAAATATGTGCATAGTCACGTTTGACTTTTAAATAAGAAGTCTTAAAGGATATTAAGAGACATACTTTGTGTATCATTTTACACAAATCTTCGTAATGATGCAGACTGTTTACTGCAGATGGTGTCATAATTAGAAGTATTTCAATAGTTGCAATTTATTTTAAGTTAGGCCTTTAAAATAGTCAGAATCTGCCTAACTGATGGTCATGGTACATACTGGTTCTTATATAGACGCTTCTGCTCTGAGCATTCAAAGCACTTTCCACAACTTAGCCAATTAGCACTTGTACCTGTCTAACATTCATACACATTTAGAGTCTGATACATCAGAGGAATAAGTCCTCGGGTTCGTATCTGGAGCAGACGGGGATCGAACCACCAACCCTCTGATTAGTAGGTGACCTGCTCCATCACCTGAGCAAGGACATGTTTTACTTTCAGAGAGCAGGAAACAATAGCAGAGACAACAAGAAGGTCCTACAAATGATAGATGTCATTGAGTGTGACTGCAGGATTCACAGTTCACACTGGTTTGTTTGCGATGTCTCACAGTAGCCCTCTTACATGTTACAGGAGGGACGAAGCTTGACAATCAAGTTGAGGAAGAGGAAGACTGAGAAGAAGGTGGAGTGGTCCAGTGACACTGTCGACAACGAGCATTTGGGAAGAAGGTCTTCAAAGTGTGAGTTTATCTTTCTCCACACAGGCTAAGAAACGTAATTAAGCAGTTTTCAGTGTTTTGCTCTGTTACATTTCAGGAGGAACAAACGTATTGGATCTACTTTTCCTTTTCCTGTTTAGGTTCAGTGCCAAAACTTGCACTGTGGTATATTTTATGACTGTGGTGGTTTCACAGTGGGGTCGTTGTTATCAGTGGGGGTTTTCTGTGGTCGTCCAGTGGCTCGTCTGGTGGGATTCTGCAGAATATGAAATAATTGAGTCATCATAAAAAAATTAGATCACAAAAACAACACAGCTGATATTTTACTCTCATGCTGAGTTTGGAACAAAGGAATATTCGGGCTGCAGAGTCGGTCCTGAAGAAGCTGCTTCATGAAGTTTGTCCTTGAAAGAAACTCGGTTTGGACGTTTTCCTCTGAACTGTGTGATTTTATTATCAGGACAGAAAGCAAGACAAACAAAAACTAGTTTGAAATGACAATAAAGCACACAGGCTATGCTGCCCAGCACCGTTTGTACTGCCGCGCTGCTTTCTATATGATTCTGTTTATTTATTGTTGTAT